AAAAAATCAATCAAAGGCCGAGTCGATTCATTTCCTTAACCACGATATGGAGGATTGTCAACTCTCCACACGGCCCGGAGTCATGCAATTCAAAGGCCCGTTTTGAAATATACCTTAGAACCCCAACTCTCTATTCAAGCATGAAAACATACTTCCACTATAGAAAAAGTTTATAAAAGAGAGAATCTATTATGCATTCAACTCTCATACATAATCTATTCACAAACCGCCAATACCTTATGCATTTTAATAAACTTTTTCTCCTAATGATGAGCACATTTCACAGATTTCCATGAACTTCTCAAACCAATGACGTTTTTTCTATTCACTTAGATGAACACAACATATTTTCAATAAATCAAGAATTGTTTTTGAGCTTAAACAACCTCAACTCAATGAAAATAACAAACAAACACAGGAAAAAATACACAATCACTCAATAACGAATTCTAAGAAAAATGAATCATCTTATAGGGCTAAGAAGTCCAAAATTCTTAAAATCAACGAACACAAGCACAAAAGGGATTCACGTATGAATTCGGAGTTCATTTAACTACCTTATGGAGCTAAAATAGGTTCAACAAAAACCGAATTCTACATAACAACCTTCTTATGAAATCAAATTATACAATTCAACCAATTCAACAACAACTTGCTCAATAATTGAAGAAAAACTAGTTTGAATCAATTCTTCATTCATAAGGGATTAAATATACACATTAAAGAAAATACCCATAAAAGAACACCAACCATTTTTTTAGAATTTTTGAAATAAACACAACAAGCAAAAAATGTAAAATTGAATAAAAAACAAACTTTTACATAGAATTGGAGGAAAAAAATATAAATTGACTAATAAGGGTTACCAATTGTTGAAGAAGAAGATGAAATTGAAGAAATTGGAGCTTGAAGAAGACTGCCCACCACTCGCCGGAGCTTTTGCCGCCGCCGGTTCGCGTCTGCAGGCCGTCCGCCACCGCCGCCGAGATGTCGCCGGAACCCGCCGTAGCAGCGGCTTGGCCGCTGCTTTATTCTCGTGTGTTTCCCCCCTTCTCGATGGTGATTCTGTGCTCAATTTATAGTCGAAGCTTTTCTTCCCGTTGGCAATTGATTGTCACGAAATTGATGGAGCCGAACGTTGGAGTGTTGAATGCTTCGCCGGTTTACGCTCGTTCCGTTGACGACGACGAAGGAGTCGTAGACTCCTTTTCCTTGCGTCGTGCGTGAAAGTGAAGAGGAAAGAGGGGTGCTGGGCTGATCTCTTTTATGATTTGGGTTTGGGCTGCGGCCCAAACTCATTCACTTCTTTTCAAACTAGAACTGCATTTTGGCCTTCTGCTATATTTTTCTCCAAAAACTAAGATATCTGATAACTTGGGTTAGGAAAAATAAAATAAAAATAATAGAATGTAAAAAATGGTTAAAAAGCTACTATTTATGAAAGAAAATAAAAAGAATGTAAAAATGAAAATTATAATAAAACTAAGCTAAACAACTAAAAATTAAACTCTAAAAATATTAAAAATGCCTAAAATTGAATAAAAAGAACCAAACCAAACCCGAGTTATCAGAGACCTAAAGTCCCTATTTCATTCTAAATACATCATCATCAAAATCTATAATATTTTTCCCAACAAATACAAAGGAAATTAACATCACCTTATACACCGGAGCAGAATGGTGTGTCTGAGAGGAAAAATCTCACCGTTGTAGAGATGGCGAGAAGCATGTTGAGGGCGAAGCAGCTTCCAAACTCGTTGTGGGCAGAAGCAGTTGCAACAGCTGTATATTTGTTGAATATATCTCCTACAAAAGCTATCTTAAATCGCACTCCATATAAAGCTTGGGGAGGTACGAAACCAACGGTGAGCCATTTAAAGGTTTTTGGATGCGTAGCTTATGGTTTGGTGAGCTCTCAAAATCTTCGAAAGCTCAACGAGAAATCTGTGAAGTGTATCTTCATTGGATACTCTTCTCAATCCAAAGCATACAAGCTATATAACCCTCTTAGTGGCAAAGTTATTATTAGCAGATACGTCATTTTCCATGAAGATTCTTGTTGGGATTGGGAGACCAAGCAAGATGATTCATATATTTTCCTTCCGCTGGACTCAGGTGATGCAGATTCTTGTGTGAATTCACCACAAAACAGCCCCACTAACTCACCAATCCCTGTTAGTGGAATAAGTCATGGTTAGTGGAGAGGATTTTTAAGATCAGTGAATAAAAATCAGTTCTTCCTTCTCAATTCTATCCTTCCGGACAGGTGGCTCATCATCATCTTCTTCCAACGCCAGGTACTTCTCTCTGGTCAACATCTCCTGATAGGTCGAGAGCAGATTTTGTCGCAGCTCCTTGCGCATATCCCCTTGGGTGAGTGCCGCTTGGAGCATGGCAATCAGGGCCTTGGACGTCCCTAGCCTCCTTCTCCCACCTATTGATGAATTCCCGGAGTTGCTCCCCTTTCCGGATCTTCACATTAAGCAGATGCGCGAATGGGAGTTTTTGCCTCTAGCTGGATGCGAAGTGCTCCAAGAACTTGTGGGCCAGGTCGCTCCACTTGTCTATCGATCCTTTGGGCAACTTGTTCTCCTAGAGAAGGGCGTTACCTCGCTAAAGACCGCCTGGCAGTAGGGGTTTTGGGCATCCAGCCGCTTCTCTAGACGCTCGTACATTTTCCACAGCTCGACTGTCTCCTTATCATCGGTCGCTTTCCGTCACTCTTCCGAGCCAATCTTAGAAGTGGCAGAGGATTCTCCCCTCTTCTCCTTGAGCGTCTCCCTTAGGTCGCCCTTGCGAGCCGAACGAGTATCCTGCAACCGATTGAACACGGAGGTTCGAGGTTTTTTCGAGTTGGGGTCCCCCAAGCGGTCAAAGGCTGACGCTCGCTCAAAGGAGGATGACTCGTCTCATCCTCCACCCTTGCTTTTCCGTTGGGCTTGGTTGCCTTCTTCTTTTGGGACCGCCTTACCTTTTTCTTCTTTTCCCCGAGCCCGTAGGTCCAGCCTTCCCGCCTATGGCCCCCAGTCGCGTCTTCCACCACAATCTCGCGATTGGTCGTCAGAGCCGCCAGTACTTCCTTGAATTGCTCAGCCGTGATCTCGACCCTCTAGATGAGGGCCTCTGCCTCCGTCGTACTGATAGAAGGGTGCCGGCCTCCGGTGGTGCGATTCTCGCCCTAGTGGGGGGCTCTAGTACCTGCATTTGCATTGCTGCGTGTCTGCACCATCGTCTTCTTGGAAGGTTTTCTTTGAGTATGGTTCTCAAGCTCTCAACGAGACAACCAATTTGATGGACAATAAACCCACCAAATGATCCGATTTGGAGAACAGATCGTTAGAAATGAATTAAGAACAAGATCTCGAGAATTAGGTGTGTATTATTAGCTTGATTTAGCTTGAGTTTTCCCCTTTCGGGTCTCCTCAATTTATACATAGGTTCTAGACAGTTAAGGTAACACATAATCAAAGGGATTCTATCCCGTCAATGGCGCGATCCACTTTTTCCGGCTTAGTCCCTGCCATTCAGCTCCGTCTTCGATCTCCTCCAGACTGGCTCTGATAGCTGTCTTGGGTTGAGGTAGCCCATGTCCAAGAATTTCTTGTGCGCCTGACCCGGAGTCTATTAACTAATTCATTTGGGCCGTCCGCAAGATATCGGCCCGTCAGTAGTATTGACTAATACGTCATTGTCAGTAGGTAAACTGTTAGAATAAGTGACCAACGCTAGAGGGGGGGTGAATAGCGTTTGATCGGAGAAATCGTAGGAATTAAAAAATTAAAAGAGAAGTAAAGAGAAGAGTAAAAGGCACACCGAATTTTTACCCTGGTTCACCACAACTTGTGGCTAATCCAGCCTCCCGAGTGACTCTCTCGAGCTACACTACTATCTCGTTAAGCTTACGGGTGCTTAACAAACCGTTACAACTTGAGAGTTCGAGTCACACGAACCTCAACGAATCCTTCAAAGGAAACAGACCTTCCTTTGAATCAACCGAGAGAGATACTATCTCTCAACGTGTCTAAGAACACAAATACACTCAAGAACGAGACTCTCTTATAGAGTAGATTTTGAGTAAACTAAGTACGCTCAAGAACAACTCAACCTTCACACACAAATGGCTCTAGAAAGCTATGGAAAATGATGATATTTGAATGCAATGAGAGTATAGATGTTGTGAAGTGAATTGGTGAGAAAAGCAGACCCAAACACCCCTTTTTATAGTGCAGAATTAGGCTCCAACGGACCAATGCATTAAAGGGGTGATTAGCTTGATTTATGGGATTGAAAAGATTTGGGATCTGCAGAATATTGGCTTCCCATCGATGTTTAGGACTTGCCCATCGCTGGTAAGCCAATTTTCCTTCAGATTTGAAGTCAACGGTCACCTACCCATCGATGGGTACAAGCTTCCCATCGCTGGTTGGGAGGTTGACTTCCAAACAAGGAAAGAATCAACCTTTAATGACCACCAAAGGTCATGCCTTCCCATCGATGGTATACCCTTACCATCGCTGGGTTCCCATCGATGGGATGGGCTTCCCATCGCTTGGCAAGGTCGTTCTGCCTTGTGGTAATTTTGCACCTAGGCTTGAACAGCGATGGGTAGAACTTCCAATCGCTGTTTGGCATGGTTCTGGAAATTGGTTTGGCTAAGGGACCGCTTACCCATCGATGGGAAGATCTTCCCATCGCTGGGTGGGTGGTTAGTCAAGAACCCATGGTTTTTGCCTTAACCACGGCCTAGCCAACCGATGCGAAAACCGACCAAAAAATTCAAAGTTCTCCAAAATAAAAGCCAAGTGTTTAAAACACTTATTTTATGTATTTGGCTAATAAATCAAGTAAGACACTTTAAAAACCACGTCATTTGAGTGAAAAACACGGCTAGCCAAGTTTATGCCGTTTTGAATGATTTTTGTCAAACGACCAAAAGCGAAAGATGGTTTTCAAGGTGTTTTTGTTGGAGAACCGTTTAAACATGCCAAGGAGTAAAAGCCAATCATAAAAAGTTGAAAACCACTTGGTTGGTTCGGACGCCAAAAACCATAGCCGATAACCGAGAACCGAACGCCGGTTTCTGAAACCCGAACGCCGGATGGCTTGGTTTTTGGTTTGGGCGAACACCAAGTGTTTTTAATGACTTAAACATGTTTGAAAAACATTTTTATGATTTAAGAAATGTAATGAAGGATTTTAGCCTAAAGAGCCAAGGTGTAAAGATTGGGTCGGTCTTGATCACAATGAAGACCGACTCAACGACACTAAGACTAAGGTCTTCGTTCTTGGTCTTCTTTTAGCTCTTGTTCTTGTCTTCCTTCTTCGCCTTGTATATTCAATGTTTGACTTGATCACGGCGGTTTGGCATTATCAAAACCTGTCATAAAAGTAAACACGGCTTTAGTACGAAAACGTGACATGCCCGTGTTTCAACAATTTCCCCCTTTTTGATAATGGCAAACGAGATGAGGTTATGCATATAAGGAGGTCTTTGAGACGTTAAAAAAATGTTCCCCCTTAATAGATGCCATTTTATTTGAAAAAAAAAATAATTCCCCCTCAATTTATGCATAACCTTGATATCTTCCCCCTTTTGACATTAACAAAAAGAATTAAAAGTGAACTTTGGAGTATAAAAGTAAACTTTTATTCATTAAAAAGGAGAAAATGGGGAATACAACAGAATGGAAATAATAAAAAACATCGTAGTAAGGAGGGAAAGAAGGAAGAGTCTAGGCAGCGGCATCCTCGTCCTCGGTTTCTTCGTCTTCTTCGTCATCTTCGACGTCCATGGGATCCCTGTCGACGGCGTCCTCAAAGTCGGCCTCGTCGGGGGAGGAGGACGGTGCATATATAGGTGTCATCCTCCGCGTCCTCGCCTTCATAGTTTTGTCCGAGGAAGGTGCTATCAAAGGGCGGCGGGACGTATTTGATGCCGCGGAAGTACGCCCTCATGTCGTGGCCTTGGCGTTGTATCGACCAGTCCATCCTCTCCAGGTACTGGCCCATGCCATCCACAGTGATGGTTAGCCGATTCAGGGTATCGGCTATGGACTGCAGTGAGGCCCGAGCGGGAGCGGGGGCATGGGCAGGGGCAGGTGCACGGGCCCGACTCGGTCCAGCGCCTGTTTGTCACCGGACTTCTTCCGGAAGGTGCTGTCTTGGATGATCCACAGCTTCGTCATCTTCGTGTCCGGCCCGGCGATGTGGATGTCGGCGGAGACGATGAGGTCCATGACGAGGAAGGCGTATGGCAAGCTCCTTTCGGTGGCGATTGAGGCGCAATTCGTCATGTGAATCATGACGTATTTTGCCCAATTGATCGAGGCGCCATGGATGATAGCGTGCACTACCCTGAGATCTTCGTTGGAGAGACTGGTGTGGCTACTGTCCTGAGGGCGAAGAATCCGGGTGATGATGTAGAGGAGGAGGAGCTTCTCTGGTGGGGCCGAGTGAATCGTCGGTGCGCCGCTGTGACGGATCAAGTTGGATCAAGTTGGTGATCCCGAGCTCACGAATGACGACGGCCTCGTTGTTGAGGATCCAATCGTCGCCTCTGTATGATGCGATGTCGTCACCGCGGGTAGGCAGCCCTGCGACCCTAGCAAAAGTAGCCAAGTCAAACTCTATGTCATAGAGATTGATGCTGCTCCGGATGGTGTCCCCGTCCCGGCGGAGATTGGAGTAGAAAGCCCGAACATAGGCAGGATTGAAGGATTGACGGCTTCTGGAGACGAACGGCCACAGACCCGACTCTTTGAGTTGATTGTCGAGGTCGTGGTACCCCTTTTGTTGAAGGTACAGCTCCGGGAGCACGCGGGGCGGAGAGATCGGGCGCTTGGCGAAGTAGGTGATGAAGCGAGAGAGTTCCTCTTCCGACCCGAACTCCAAGAAGGAACCGTCGAGATATGGGAAGGGTTTGTCTTCTTTCCTCAAGCCATGATTGTGTTTATGAAGAACAAATGATAAAATTTGATTAGGAGATTGAATTTGGGTTGTGAATTTGTGATTTAGAATGATAAAACAAGGTGTGTATATATAGGGAAGGAGTGGAAACCGAAATAAGTTCAAAAATATGACTGTTGGGCATTAAATTCGTTGCCCAACGGTCAAAAAATTTTGAATTGCAGAAGGCTTACCATCGATGGGTAAGAGTCCCCAGCGATGGGAAGGGTGACACTGGAAAGCGAAGGGGAGAACAAGGCTGCCTTCCCAGCGATGGTAGAACCTACCCATCGATGGGAAGGTGGCTACTGGAAATCCGATAAAAAGCTTTAAAAAAATAGTGTCAAACACCCATCGATGGGAGAAAGTTACCATCGATGGGATGGGAGGTTCTGAAAAATTTTGATAAAAGTCCTTCACCCAGCGATGGGATAAACTACCCATCGATGGGTTAGGGTGTTCTGGAAATCCGTTAAGTATTTTTAAAAAATAGAGTCAATTACCCATCGATGGGAAGAAGCACCCATCGATGGGAAGAGGGGTTCTGGAAAAAAGAAACTTCCCTCCCAGCGATGGTATGGCCTACCCATCGCTGGTTCCCCCTGATTTCCAGAATTCTTCACTTCGAACCGTCCCTGCAAAAAAGAGTAAGAAAACCCTCCGAAGCTCAAGTTAGTAAACGTTCCATTAACAATAAAAGAATGATAAAATGCACAAATTAGATCATCGTGGAGTCAAGGATTCCGAGTTCGCTACGAATGCGGAAGAACGACTCTTTCTCTAAAGGTTTTGTGAAAATGTCGGCTAATTGGTTGTGTGTTTCAACAAACTCAATTTCAACATCACCTTTGAGAACATGATCTCTAATGAAATGGTGCCTAATGTCAATGTGTTTCGTCCTTGAATGAAGAACGGGGTTCTTCGTCAAGCTAATGGCGCTAGTATTGTCACAACGAAGAGGAACGTGACTGATACTAAGGCCATAGTCCACGAGTTGTTCCTTCATCCAAAGGATTTGAGCACAACAACTACCGGCGGCAACGTATTCCGCTTCGGTTGTGGATAACGCAACACTGACTTGTTTCTTGCTAAACCATGAAACTAAAGAGCTACCAAGCAAGTGGCAAGTCCCACTCGTACTTTTGCGGTCCAATTTGCAACCGGCAAAGTCCGAGTCGGAGTAACCAACAAGAAGACACGAAGAGCCTTTAGGGTACCACAGTCCAACGTTAACCGTGCCTACAAGGTATTTCATGATCCGTTTCACCGCCGTTAAGTGCGATTCTTTCGGGCATGATTGATACCTTGCGCAAAGGCATACGCTAAACATGATTTCCGGCCTACTAGCAGTAAGATAAAGAAGGGAACCGATCATACCTCGATACTTTTTGACCTCAACTTCCTTACCTTTTTCGTCTTTGTCCAGATGGTCAGACGTGCTCATTGGGGTTGCCATGGCTTTGGCGTTGTCCATTTCGAAGCGTTTTAGGAGCTCCTTGCAGTATTTGGTTTGGCAAATGAACGTGCCATCTTTCATTTGCTTGACTTGGAGTCCCAAAAAGAATGTAAGCTCACCTATCATGGACATCTCAAATTTACTTGTCATTAACGTTGAGAATTCCTTGCACAAAGACTCGTTAGTAGCACCGAATATAATGTCGTCTACATAAACTTGAACCAAAAGGATGTTATTGTTTTTACTCTTGATAAAAAGTGTAGTGTCAACCTTTCCCCTTTGGAAACCACTATCCAAAAGAAATTTACTCAAACGTTCGTACCAAGCACGTGGTGCTTGTTTAAGACCGTAGAGCGCTTTCTTGAGTTTGAAGACGTGATCGGGAAACTCAAAGTCCTCAAACCCCGGGGGCTGGTCAACATACACTTCCTCTTGAATAAAACCATTGAGGAAGGCACTCTTAACATCCATTTGATAAAGTTTAAAATCCATAGACGAAGCAAAAGCAAGAAGTAAACGAATAGCTTCTAAACGTGCTACAGGTGCATAAGTTTCTTCGAAATCAATGCCTTCTTCTTGATTGTAGCCTTTAGCTACGAGCCTAGCTTTGTTTCTAGTGATTATTCCATTTTCATCAAGTTTGTTACGGAACACCCATTTCGTACCAATAATCGTACGATCATCGGGCCTTGGCACCAATTCCCAAACGTCATTC